TGTATTCTCTTAGCAACTAACTGAAATTTGAAGTAATAAAATTACTAAAACTGAAATAAAAATAAAGCTATATAGAAATGAAAATAAAAAACTGAAAATATAAAATAAAAGTGAATTCAAAAATTAAAATGTTAAAATTTAGTTTAAATAAGTAAATAAAATAAGTAAAACAAACGTTTAAAATGTTCAATATGGGCTCTTTAAATTAAATAAAATAAATTTTAGATGAAAAAATTAACTCAAATAAATACTAATTCAAAATATTATACTAATACTACAATAACACCTTATGCAGGAAAAATAACGGCATAATGGTTTGAAACTATAGAGAGTAAATAATAACAGAATTTAAATTTTGCATAAACTTTCTGTAAGTGTCTGAATAGTATGCTTATGTTTTGGCAAAGTACAAAGAAAACAAACCATTGCGCTCCTCCTTTGGCAGCTTCACCTCCTCTCTGGCTCCTATTTCCTCATCGACTCCACGTACACTGATCACAGCCGCCAGGATCTCTGGGATCGTGGGAAACGAGGCATGACTCTGTGCCAGGACGGCACGCAGGAAGTGTGCAGCCTCGACGGCATACTGGAAACAGGTGGAGGGAAGACGGGAGCAGGGTCTGTTATCCAGCTGCAGGAATAACACTGACCTGTAATACAAAAAAATATGCATGCAGTCAGCACACGTTTGAAAAACAGACCACTGATTACTGAAAAGACATGCAATACCTGTATGATATCATTACTGAAGAGCAGTCACAAATAATATCTAACTAACAGTAAAACAAAACGGCCTTAAAATCAAACACTGAATTGTATTAAATCAGATTAGCCAATCAAAACTATGTTCATTTACCTAAAGTAATCTAAAAGCAATCCCAAGAGAGGCTCACAGAAAGGGTGGAAAGTAGCTGTGCAAAAATAAATGATTTATTTTTACTTTTTTTTTTTTGCCTTTTCTTTATGGGTTATTTATATCATGAGCATTGTTGGTGCATAATCCCTTGATTAACATGAATAAAAAAATTTTTTTAATGTAGCATATGGCCTCTTTAAATGATTTATTTTATGTTATTTTTAGTTATATTTTATGCTTTTTACAGTTTATTTATATTATGAGTATTTTTTATGCATAAACCTTTGATTAACATGGACTATAAAAAAATGTAAAACAATAAAAAAAAATTAAAAGCTTGAAATGTAGAATATGGCCCTTTTTAACTTATTAACATTATTTTATAGGTATATTTTATAGTTAGGTTTATTAGTTTATTTATATTATGAGTATTTTTGGTGCATAACCCCTTGATTAACATGGACTATAAAAAATAATAAAAACAATACAAAAAAAATTAAAAGCTTGAAATGTAGAATATGGCCCTTTTTAACTTATTAACATTATTTTATAGGTATATTTTATAGTTAGGTTTATTAGTTTATTTATATTATGAGTATTTTTGGTGCATAACCCCTTGATTAACATGGACTATAAAAAATAATAAAAACAATACAAAAAAAATTAAAAGCTTGAAATGTAGAATATGGCCCTTTTTAACTTATTAACATTATTTTATAGGTATATTTTATAGTTAGGTTTATTAGTTTATTTATATTATGAGTATTTTTGGTGCATAACCCCTTGATTAACATGGACTATAAAAAATAATAAAAACAATACAAAAAAAATTAAAAGCTTGAAATGTAGAATATGGCCCTTTTTAACTTATTAACATTATTTTATAGGTATATTTTATAGTTAGGTTTATTAGTTTATTTATATTATGAGTATTTTTTATGCATAAACCTTTGATTAACATGGACTATAAAAAATTTAAAATAAAAACTATATTATTTAAAAATATTTAATATTTTAAAATAAAATAAAATTTAATTTAAAGCTTGAAATGTAGAATATGACCTCTTTAAATTAAAACATAAGACAGTATCACTAACCCATTGCTGTCATAGGATGGTGTTTGAGCGTACAGCTCGGCGAGCTGTCGGGTGTCCATTGTAAGTAGGTCTGTGGTGGGCTGGAGAGGTGCCATCCCTCTGAGTTTGACGCTGGTCTGCAGGACAGTGCTTAAGGGCCATAACAGAGAGCTGTTCTGAATCTGACCCCTCTGGAATGGGATTCTAGTGTGCAGTATGAGGCTTCCTTTGGCCCAGATGGGGTACTGCTTTTTGTGGCAGTCCGAGCCGTCCCACCCACAGGGGGCGTTGTTGCAGCCCTGGTCGCAGTGGCCGTTGTCATAATGATTTCGGCAATAATGAATATGCCCTAGACTGAGAAAACAAAACATTTTACTTCAAGCATGCATATAACAAATTATAAATATTCGTGTTGCATTGCAATAAATTCATGTGCATATCAGTTGTAGGTTCTCGTGAATAGCCTAATTATAACAACGGTATCCTGCTATGCTTTATACTTTTTAAGGCACGTAATTTGATGCATTGTAATTGTGGTTACAATTATTTATGACAAATAATACTTTATCGAGTTTCCAAGGCCGTAGTATTTTTACTTCGTTTTTGTAGACCTTACGTTACTTGTACATTTTTCAAGTAGGCCTAACTTTTACTTTTACCTCAGTACATTCCAAAGCATAATATTGTACTTTTTACTCCACCATATTTCTTAAAAACACGTCGTTCCTCGTTAATTTGAGCTGGAGAAATCGCCAACCTTTCCGAGACGCGATTCCGGTGTTCGATTCGCGAGCGAGTCGATTCTTCTCAATGAACCTGTTAAATCTGTTCGCGAATCGATTCGAACGATTCATTCACGAATTGAACTGATTGGATTGCTGCTGTTCCCGAGTCAACAACTCGCTGATTCAAAGCTGATCCGGTCAGAGCGAGTCTCCAGTTAACGAGTCAGTGAATTCACAAGTCATCGAAGCTTGAGTCAGAAAAGTCAGACAGTCAGAAAAGTAAATTACTAATGCCGAATATTAGGATTTAGGCTATTATTGTAAATGAAAATCATATTTAGGTCACGACTGAGCTGTTTGCAAACTAAATATGCTGTAAAAAGTTGAGCTATTTAAGCCCACAACTGTAAGAAATGCTTGAATGTGGACACGTCCACACTTGTGTATCACCGTCTCAACGGGGTAAGTTTTCCTCGTTTCTAAATACTATATATGTTATATTAAGTTTTTTTTTTTTTTCAATTGTTTGGACACATGACGTTTCAGTAACCTAAATTGCTATTTTAATATATTTTTAATGTTTTGATAGTGTATGATAGGCCCCCCTCCCCAGGTATTTTGAGCAGTAGGGCTATAAAATATCTAAACGTATATAAATTAAAAAAAACTAAATAAATATTTATTGATTAGTACTTTGTATTTTTACTCGAGTAAAATTGAGTACTAATACTCAAGTCTACTAGAGTAATATTTTGTTAGGGTATCTGTACTTTTACTCCAGTACTAGATTTGTGTACTTCCTCCACAACTTGATGTGATATTTCATGTGATATTAGCATGCTTCACGTTGGTTTCTTACATGCAGATGCCTTTGTCTTTGAGGCAGTCGAATCCATCTCTCAGACAGTCAGAAGTGGAGCACTCCTGATCACATACTCCATTCCCAAACTTGGCCTGGCACGTTTTTCCTGCCATACAGCTGCTGTATGGATCACTAGGGGAGGCTTTTAAGGGAAAGCAAAAGTAAGTATGATTATCATGTTATAGAAACGAGTAGAGTAGCAATGTCAAGCATGTTTTTGAGCTATCAAAAGAGCCCACATCACTAAAGATGTTCAGTATTATCCTGGCTGGAAGGGGCGGGGCCTTGACCTGAATTCCAGGAGAAACAGGAAACGAGGGGCATGACACAAACAGGAAGTTTCCAGAAGCGTCGAACAGCAACAGGAAATGGGGTGGAATGGGAGTGGATGAAGGCTGAGGGCATTACTGTAGCGATCAATATCTTATTTTTGTATGTCTGCTAAAAATTTGTACAATTGTATTTTTCTCTTAGCATTTTCTCTATTGAAGATGGATATATATATACACTACTTTAAAAAAAAAAAGTTGAGGTCTGTAATATTTTTTAAATGAAATTATTACTTTTATTCAGGAAGGATGCATTACACTGATCAAAAGTTTCAGTCATTTATTATTAATAATTTACAACTCATTTATAATGTTACAAAATGTTCTATTTAAAATAGAAATAATAGATTTCTATTTAAAATAAATACTGTTTTTTAACTTTCTATTCATTAATCAACTTTTTTTCTGTACAGCAAAATACAGAAAGTACATATGGAGATAGATAGATAGATAGATAGATAGATAGACAGACAAACATAAAATACAAAAAAAAAATACAAATGGACTTACACACACACACACACACACACACACACACACAAGAACATTATATTTTTTATAATATGCTTTTTTTTCAATAAAAATATATTTAATTTGTGGGTCTGACACCAAAGTTTGGGAATTAAACCTGAAAGTAAAAAAAAAAAAATGTTACAGCCAATAAATATTTTAGATTTTATTTCAGAAATATTACAGATTTTTACAAAAAACAAACTAATAATACTAATAAAATTAATAATGAGAATAGAATGTTTAATTAATTTGCTTGTTTGTTAATGTTTAATTTAATAAATATGTAATACATATCTAATATCACATTTCTAACCATTTGCCTTCAAATTCAAGTTATAAAAACAATTAGTGAATATTATATATTATTCCTGTCTTGTTTGCAGCTAGTAAGTGGTAGAGATAGTAAGTGGGTCATTAGAACCCCAGCAATCATCACATCATCATGCAGTCATCTGTGTCCATCTATTCATTCATCCATCAGTTCTGTCCACAGGAAACTGAATTTGACTCACCTTGAGATACTCTGCAGAGAGTCCATACGATGAAGGAGAATCTCACAGTCAGGTGCATCTCTGAACACAGACACGAGTCAGGAGTTAGTCAAGTTCCTCTTGATTTGACACAGCAACCCCCTCGAGTATGAATCACCAAGACCAAGACCTGGTGTCTTCTCATTTGAGGCTGCTCTTATGTCTTCAGGGAGTCTTGGATGGTTTCTTGCATTATGGATGCAGCATTATCAGTTCAGTAATACTGTGGGAAGTGTGTGAACGTTCATGTCTACACCCTCAACAGCTCCCTCCCTGAATTTGTCCCTCATTCTTTTTCAGAAGCACGGCGGATATCTGGACGACTTCCTGCCACTGTGTGGAAAAGAATAGGAGCGAGTGTGTGTGTGTGTGAATCTGAAAGGTCGGTATTATCGCAGGAGTTTGACCTGTTTATGAATTATTTTACTGCATGAATTGTGTTGAAGGAAATTTGACAGGACAATTGAACAATACCACACACACAAAAAAAACCTTTACTTCCTTGTGTTCAAACTAGACATAATATCTCATTTTTATATACCTGCTAAAAGTCCTGCACATTTGTGTCGCTTTTTTCAGCAGCTTGTCCATTGAAGACGGATATATACACTACTGTTTAAAAGTTTGGGATCAGTAAGATTTTTTTATATGAAATTAATACTTTTATTAAGTTGTTCAAAACTGACAGTTAAGACATTTATAATGTTACAAAATATTTATATTTCAAATAAATGCTGTTCTTCTGAACTTTCTATTCATCAAAGTATTATTAAAAAATGTTTTCCACTGAAGTATTAAGCAGCACAACTGTTTTCAGCATTGATAATAGTAAGAAACGTTTCTTGAGCAGTAAATCAGCATATTTGAATGATTTCTGAAGGATCATGTGACACTGAAGACTGGAGTAATGATGCTGAGAATTCAGCTGCGCATCACAGGAAAAAACAATACTATTATTTATTAATAATAGTTATTGTTTATTTATTTATTTTTTGTAATTTCTGCAGTTATGCAAGCAAGACACAGAGAGACAGAAATAAGTATTGTAATTACTTTTTTTTTTTTGTATTACTAAAAAAAAAGAGCCTAAACTAGCCTAAGGTGGTTGGTCTTAGCTTGCCACAAAACTGAGGATGGTCTGATGGTGTATTTTTTTATTCAGTGTTACTTATATAAATTCAGGGCACCAATTCTAAAAAGCAAATTTACTGTGCATTATTTGTTGCACTTATCTTCATCCTGCTTTTATGGGCAGGGCGGTTTGGTTACACTAAATATTTATGAATATTAATTAGGTTATACTGCTCGGTAACATTTTTAGGGATGCGCACGCAACGCGCTGCGCAACGTGTGTGAAGAGAACAGTGAAGACACTGGAGACCGGTTCATAAATGCTGAACTATTTTTAACTCAACACAGCGTCTTAAAACGCTGCACTCATGACGCGGGAGCCTTAAAAAACAGCGATACGAGTCGCAGCGGTCAAAGACGCATTTTTCCAACCGTCAGCAGCAGGCGCTCAGAAACTCAACACCGTCTACTTCACTTTGTCAGGCAGGTCCTATTTAAGAGATTTCTTGATTGCGAACAGGTGACTTTTTCACACCACTGTATGTATATATATAATTTATTTATTTTTATTATTTTTTTTACAGTTTTTCTCTTACTGGACATTAAAAAAAATCATTTCACATGACATGTCTGTTATGGCTTTATGATCTGTAAATAATCACCTTGAAATCTAGCCTACAGTGTCATTTAAAACTATAGTCTGAGAAATGAAAGAAAGTTAAATGCGATCTAATGTTACTTTTAGTTTCACTTTGGTTACGTTTGCTCTGATAATTGTTCAGTACACAAAATCATGCCAAGTTTTCAAACGCAGTAAACGTTTCAGGACTTTTCAGCAACTATGTTGAACATATTGATTCTTCTCTACAGAGATAAGACATTTGAATGTTTTGATTGCAGAATAATGTGGGCCACTGATCATAAATCTTGTATCTTTTGTCTGTAAGCAAATTAGAAGATATAGACATGAATGTTAACATGCAAATTTGCATACATATTGTCCTGCAGGTGAAATGGCGATTCCTCATTACACTGGAAAAATGACAGACTGGATCATGAATGAAGATGAACCCGAGGCCTTTAACCATGCTATCACTGTCATGACACTGATGACCATTATGAGGTAAGACCAAGAAGGACAATCTTTTACACCACTGTTCAGTAAGACACTGCAAAGCAAAGACACATTAAACTGATCGAAAGTGACAGTAAAGATATTTATAAAGTTTAAAATAAACATTTTCTTTTGAACTTTCTATTCATAAAAGAACTTTGAAAAAATATATCATGGTTTGCACAAAAATATTAAGCTTTTTACAGCATTTATGATAATAAGAAATGTTTCTTGAGCTGCAAATCAGCATATTACAATGATTTCTGAAGGATCATGTGACACTGAAGTCTAGAGTAATGATGCTGAAAATTCAGCTTTGCATCACAGGAATAAATTACACTTTGAAATATATTCAAGTAGAAAACATTCCTTTTAAATTGTAATAATATTTCACAATATTACAGTTTATACTGTAACAGTAAACAGCTTCTCAGCTGTATTAAAGAGAAATGCACACCTCAGGATTTCCACCTGTTTTCTGCAGTGCTGTGTGTGAGTTTGTGTGTGACCTGATCTACAACATCACCATGAGCCGAATACACACGTCCATCCAAGGACTCGTCTTCCAGTCTGTGCTGAATCAGGATATTGCGTTCTTCGATAAAGCTTCCACAGGTAAAACTGCAAACATAATCAATTAGGGCGTGTTCACACTTGGCGTCTTTTTTGACAAGAAAAAGTTGACAAGAGCGCTTTTTTAGTAAAATAAAAAGCTGGCAGCGTTTCGGTTACAAATAGCAGCCGAGGGTGTCTTTTCTTGCTATAACAACAGCTAAAACAGTAGCCTAGTATGTGGTGCAAGGGCCAAAGTTGGCCCTTGCGTTGGCTTTTGAAGTTAACGGGGAGGAGAATGTTGGTTCACAATGACGTTTGTGGGTGTGCGACATTATACAGGAAGGACACACGTCCATCCAAGGACTCGTCTTCCAGTCTGTGCTGAATCAGGATATTGCGTTCTTCGATAAAGCTTCCACAGGTAAAACTGCAAACATAATCAATTAGGGCGTGTTCACACTTGGCGTCTTTTTTGACAAGAAAAAGTTGACAAGAGCGCTTTTTTTATTAAAATAAACAACTGGAAGCATTTTGGTTACAAATAGCAGCCGAGGGCGTCTTTTGTTGCTATAAAAACAGCTGCAACAGTAGCCTAGCACTGTGTGCTGCAGAAATGTCGAGAAAGAGTAAAAAGTTGGCTCTTTCGTTGCCTTTTGAAGTTAACGGTTTTCAACTTGAAAAGACGCTCTGAGCTGCAGAAAAGACGCCGGCGGTGGCGTTTTAAAAAGCGCTCAGGACTTTTTTGAAAACACGGTTTACTCCGTAGGATTATCATATAAAACAGACGCTGGCAGCTTCAAAAAAGACGCCAAGTGTGAACATAGCCCAAGATGTTTTTTTGCTTCAAAAAAGATGCCAAGTGTGAACATAGCCTTATTAGTGCTGGTTTTTGAACACTGGTTTCTTTTATCAGATAACTGTTGCTATCTTTAATGCATGCTGTCACAATCATGGTTTCCTGTTCAGGGGACATTGTATCTCGCATCACCACCGACACCAACACCATGAGTGAGTCTCTGAGTGAGAAGTTGAGTCTGCTCATGTGGTACTTCATGCGTGTCATCTTCCTGTTCGGCTCCATGCTGCTGCTCTCCACCAGGCTGTCCATCTTCACCGCACTCGGCCTCCCCATCATCTGGATCATCCCAGAATTTTCAGGCCAGTTTTACCAGGTAGGATTAATATATATTTAAAGTCATACACGAGGTTGTAGGCTGAAAGAGAGTTTTCTTAAAAAGAGTTTGTTGTGCTATTTATCTTTTTTTTTTCCATTATAGTGCATAGTAGTTAAGTTTTCTCATTCAAAATGTAGTCATGATTTGGTCAAAGCATGATCATTTTGAGTAATAAACTTTCATTTTTATAATTAATATAATAATTGACACTGTTAATTACCATATTAACCACAGATAAATAGGTAAATATTTTAGCTAATAGATATCACCATATGTGACCCTGGAGCACAAAACCAATCTTAAGTCGCTGGGGTATATTTGTAGCAATAGCCAAAAATACATTGTATGGGTCAAAATTATCAATTTTTCTTTTATGCCAAAAATCACAAGGATATTAAGTAAAGATCATGTTCCATGAAGATATTTAGCAAATTTCCTACCGTAAATATATCAAAACTTCATTTTTGATTAGTAATATGCATTTAAGGACAACTTTTAAGGACAACTTTAAAGGCGATTTTCTCAATATTTAGATTTTTTTGCACCCTCAGATTCCATATTTTCAAATAGTTGTATCTCGGCCAAATATCGTCCTATCCTAACAAACCATACATCAATGGAAAGCTTATTTATACTCATTCTTTCAGATGATGTATAAATCTCAATTTCGAAAAATTGACACTTAAGACTGGTTTTGTGGTCCATGGTCACATATTTCCTCAGTTGATTAATCATAGTATAAGGCAATTATTCTTTGTATTAGAAGTTTTCTTAAATGTTATGTTTAGATTTGCAAAAGGGGCATTGTGTAATTAAATATGACATAATTTACATACATTTCAAGAACAAAAATATGAACATTGAATAAGGCAGGTTCAAAATTCTTATTTCATTTTGTGTAAAAAATCCACAGTAAAAATCTTCAGAATATGGAATAATAATAAAAAATAAATAAAACTGTAAAATTTGGTGTATGTAAGTGGCTGAAACTGATTTATGTATGAGGGGAAAGTTTTTTTTTTTTTTTTTTTAATTTTCAGAAAATAGCCTTTAAAGATATGTAATTAAAATTGACAGACAAAATAGAGAAAATGTAATAAAAAGGCATTTGTTTTGAATGTTTTCTTTCCACTAGTCCGAGAGAAGACAGGAAGCAAAATAGCCCAAATTTCAGTGCATAAAAAAAAACAATGGTTTTGTCTGTAGTGTCTTGCCTTAAAGGGGTCCTATTATGCTTTTTCACTTTTTCAACTTTAGTTAGTCTGTAATGTTGCTATCTGAGCATAAAAAAGATCTGCAAATTTACAAAGCTCAAAGGCCACTTCAAAAGGAGATATTTTATTTAACAGAAATCACTGTTCAAAAACTACAACGAATGACTCTTTTGGACTACAACGCATATTTTCCGGGATTAGTGATATCACAAATATCGACGAATGGGAGCTGCCAATCACAACACACACTGGCCCAGCTAACCAATCACAACACACACTGGCCCAGCTAACCAATCACAACACACACTGGCCCAGCTAACCAATCACAACACACACTGGCCCAGCTAACCAATCACAACACACACTGGCCCAGCTAACCAATCACAGCACATTTCGTATTTCAGAAGGCGGGCCTTCATTTGATACAGGAACTATTCGAGCCATTCATGCCAGACTGGTGAGAGAGGTGTTGTAATAATGTAAAATATGTGAAAAATAATGTGTTTTTCGAACAACCTAGTATGAGATCCTGTTCTAGTACCCCCCCAAAACAAAATCTAGACTTTGTAAAATAGCATAATAGGACCCCTTTAAGACTTCTATGGAAATAAATCATGTACAAAAAGACAAAGAATGTGCATTAAAAATAGGTTATTTTTGATTAATTTTATGTGACTGAAATAAAATGAAGCAGCTTTTTCCTAATGTTGGGTGTGCAGATGTTTCTAATGATACCTTCAAATTTGCTGGTGGTTTTCTTTAGTTCATCAAGTGCATCGAGAGCATTTGTGTTTATGTGTGATAATGTTTTTCCCATAGAAACTTTCTGTACAAGTGCAAGAATCTCTCGCCAAGGCCAATGATGTTGCCACGGAAACCTTTTCTTCCATGAAGACAGTGAGGAGCTTTGCAAATGAGGATGGAGAAACCGAGAGGTACAGGAAGTGCTTAGAGGACACATATGCCCTGAATAAAGTGGAAGCCGCAGGTTATGCTGCCTCAACTTGGACCAATAGTGTAAGTGTTTTATTGGTACACTGATGACCATATCACAAGAGGAAGGAAAAAAAAATAATAATAAAATATGCCATTGAAGCATATCTTCATTTAAAATGTATATATTTGTTTGAACGTTTTTTGTTTTATTTTTGCATTAAAATGTAAAAAAAAAAAAACAATATACAGGTACATCTCAAAAAATTAGAATACCATGAAAAAGGTCAATAGTTTTTGTCACTCATTTCAGAAAGTGAAACCCATATATTATATAGATTAATGATTCAAAATGTAATACATTTTAATATAATATAGTTGGATATAATGCAACAACATGAACATTTGACCCAACGGCCCTCAATCAAGTTTGATTTTTGGACTATTAAAAACCTTTGGACTATTAAAAACCTTGGGTACCTCTGCTTTAGAAAACTGCTTTGTATTTTAAAGCAGTTTGCATGAATATCTACACTATATGTCTAATGCATCTTGAAGTCAATGTTTGAAATCAAATGTGCATTTTTCAGATGTCCAGTCTGGCTTTGAAAGTCAGTATACTGTACTATGGAGGGCGGCTTGTGACAGGAAGTGATGTCAGTAGTGGTGATCTGGTGTCCTTTGTGCTGTATGAGCTTCAGTTCACATCAGCTGTGGAGGTAAGACTTCAGATGCTGTCTGTTTGACTACAGGCATCATGCTAAACAAGTATCACTGTTTAAGCCAACCCCGAACACTTAGTATTAAACTTTAGGAATGCTCTGCATGTACCCCCAACACCCAAATTTTGCAAGGGAAAACACCACTTTTAGTTTGCTTTTGTGGCTTTAAACCAATGCTTCTTCTATCACAGGTACTGATGTCATACTGGCCGCATGTAAAGAAGGCGGTCGGTGCTTCAGAGAAAATCTTTGAGTACGTGGACCGAAAGCCTGATATTCCTCCTGATGGATCCCTCACTCCTCAAAGTCTGAAAGGACATGTGCAATTCAAAAATATCACATTTGCTTATCCGAAACGACCGGACACAGATGTGCTAAAGGTATGTATCGAAAATCGAAAGTTATATTTCACAAAATAAAAAAAAAGAAATAAGAAATCATGTTTTGCTCAAAGAAAATTAAGTCTGTTTTGCATTGTGACAATGAAAGACGTAAATATTTTCATTACTTTATTGCAATGAAAAATTATCAGTCTTCGTACTGTAATGGCAAAAAACATATATATATATTAAAATTGTAAAATATTAAACAATATGTATACATATTTATATATTTATTTTTGCTGGTCTGTCTAGAACATTTCTCTTGAGCTGAAGCCAGGCCAGATCACAGCTCTGGTGGGTCCATCAGGTTCTGGAAAAAGCACTATTGTGAGTTTGCTGGAGAGATTTTACCAGCCTCAGAATGGGGAGATTTTATTGGACCAGAAGCCACTACTGGAGTATAAGGACCAATATCTACATGAGAAGGTAATCCTGTTCTTTTCTATATACAGTACACTCAGAAAAAAGGTACAATAGCTGTCACTGGGGTGGTACCCTTTGAAAAGGTACACTTTTGTACCTTATTTATGCCTAAAGGGTGCATAGTAGTACCTTATAAGGTACATATTAGTACCTAAATGGTACATAAGGGTACTAAATGGTACTAAAGGGTACCACCTCAGTGACAGCTTTTGTACCTTTTTTCTGAGACTGTACTAATAGCTGCATCTATATAAATAAATAAAAGTGACTTTTTCTTTGTCTGAATTCTTTGTTTGCTGACCTTGTTTAATCTCCACCCTCTTCAGATTAGTGTGGTGTCACAGGAGCCAGTTCTGTTTGCTCGGTCAGTGCGGGAAAACATCAAATATGGCAAAGAAAATGCCTCGGATGAAGAAATGCGTGCTGCTGCCAAGCTGGCCAATGCAGATGACTTCATTGACAATTTACCTAAAGGATATGACACAGGTGAGTCTTAAAGTAATAGTCCACCCAAAAATGAACATTTGTGGAAAATGTATTCACCCTCAGGCCATCCAAGATGTAGATGAGTTTGTTTCTTCATCAGATTTGGAGAAATTTAGCATTCCATCACTTGCTCACCAGTGGATCCTCTGCAGTGAATGGGTGCCGTCAGAATTTTTATTGGTAAACCGTTGCTTCTGGCCAAAATACGAGTCCATAATTCATAATAACACTTCATCCACTGAAAAAGTCAATTTCCTGTTGTCCTCTCACATCAAAGTCCTCCAACATATTTGTTTAGAACGGTTTTGGACAGTTTTTACTCGTAAACTATGCTTTATCTGTGCATATTTCTCTCCTGATTCCGAATTTTTCACTGGAGAAGGCACTATTATGAATAGAGGACTCATATTTTAGCCAGAAGCAACAGTTTGAGTGTTAAAAACATCTTAATGATAGTTTTTTTTTTTTTTTTTTACAAACACATAGTTTTTCTCTTTACGAGGCATTAATTGCTGGACTGGAGGGGTGTGGATTATTGTGATGTTTTTTATCAGCTGTTTGGACTCTCATTCTGACGGCACCCATTCACTGCAGAGGATCCTTGGTGAGCATTTAAAGTTTAAAGGTTGTTTGAGAAAGTAACACATGTTGTTTTGTGTTGGTCAGATGCTGGAGAGAAGGGCGGTCAGGTCTCCGGAGGTCAGAAGCAGCGTATCGCCATCGCCAGAGCTCTGATTCAGAAACCGCAGATTCTTGTGCTTGATGATGCTACCAGTTCCCTGGACACCGAGAGTGAACACAGGGTAAGAGGAGAACACCTGATTGAAACGATTTGGAAAAGCCCACATCCGTATATTAGGGCTGGGTGATGTATTGAATATTCACGGTACATGTGCGATAACTTTGCATTACACTGCATTATGAATATTGCAGTAACGTTTTATTGGAATAACTTTCATGAAAAATCGCTTTTCAATTTGGCCATCAAGTTTACTAAAGAGCATATCACTATTAACAAATGTTTGTGATTTGCATCTGATTTTAAGTTCAGTAGTAATAAGCTTAATTCATTTTTGTGAATCAGTTCAAACTGCCTTAAAAAATCTATTCAAAACTCTGTTTAATGAATAATTTGCATCATATTAAATGCAAATGTTTGTAAAATAAATGTGGGTAAATATATATTTTTTGTAGCTGATCATTTTAAATTTATTTTGCAAAAATGGCCACATGGTTGAGATGCTGGTTCCCTTAAAAAAAATAAAGGCCATTTAAGAGCAAATACCTATTTATACCAAATATCACCTAAGTTTGAAAAATATTGAAATACTGAATTGATCTGTTTAATGATGAATTTGCATAATATTGTTAGTAAAATATATGTAGGTAAGTATTTTTTAGTAGTTTTATTTCTTACAGTTGAAAAATATGACACTGAATCTGTTCATAACTGTTTAATTATTAATTTTGATCATATAAAATAATTAAAATACTTTTTAGCAAAATATATGTGGGTAAATAGATATTTGTTCTTTTTTTTATTTTTCTATGTTCATTTAGAAGTCTTTTTGAAGTTTTAGTTTTTTACAGCTACACAATTTTAAATCTATTTTGATAAAATGGCTGCTTGGTAGAAATGATGGCTCCTCTGTCTTTGATTAGTGTCTCCTTGGATGTGATTTTCCCTGATCTTGGGTTCTTCTCAGGTGTACAGCGCTCTGCAGAAGAACTGTACGGTGCTGCTCATCTCTCACAGACTGAGTGGCGTGGAAGACGCAGATCATATCATTTTCCTCCGAGACGGGGAAGTGGCCGAGGAGGGGAACCATGAAGAACTGCTGGCCAAGCATGGATTCTATGAAGAGTTCGTGAATCAACAGAATACTTCAATTCATCGCAACACAGAAGATGTTACAAACTCCGGCCAATGATCTAGACCAGCTGCTCTACATTTAATCTGAGCCAGCACAAATCAGATGACAAATCTTTGCATTTTTTCTCCATTAGCACATATTTCTCAGCTTTTCAATTATGTAAATGCTGCTAGTGTTTTTAAATTAGGTGTAAATATCACAAAAAATGCGAGAAAAGATATGGGTGAATCTCACTAAAATATGTCCAGGTTTCCTACTACATTAAAAGAAAATTCTTTTTTGCATATGTAACGGAGGCCAGCGAGTAGGTGCTGTGCAGGTAAAACCTCACTCCCCTGATCTCGAGAGACGCACTAGCGACTGACGCTAGTGGCTGCAGTCTTTAGCCTCCTTGTTAGTGCGTCCACCTCTCATGCCGGAGACCCGGGTTCAAGACCCACTCGGAACGAGAACGAAGTGTGGAGGTGAGGACCCGGGTGAGAGGGGTTACACACATATATTATTTTTAATCTATTTTTAGGGAACCTATTTAATTTTTCGTATTTCCCCAACTCGCATTACTATAATGTGGTTTACTTTTGAGCTTCACCCCCTGATCTCGAGAAACGTACTAGCGACTGGCGCTAGTGGCTGCGATCTTTAGCCTCCTTGTTAGTGCGTCCACCTCTCATGCCGGAGACCCGGGTTCAAGACCCACTCGGAACGAGAACGAAGTGTGGAGGTGAGGACCCGGGTGAGAGGGGTTACACACATATATTATTTTTAATCTATTTTTAGGGAACCTATTTAATTTTTCGTATTTCCCCAACTCGCATTACTATAATGTGGTTTACTTTTGAGCTTCACAATTCTCGTTTCTCCCGTTGGTGATTCTCATTAAAGGGGTCATAGGATGCTACATGCACTTTTACAAGCTGTTTGAACTGAAATGTGGTTTGTTTCTGAAGGGAATGCGTCCCCGATCTGCCTAAATGCGTCTATGTTCCCGCAAATCATTCATGATCCAGCCTCATCTACAGAAGAAGTGAGTATAATGTTTTGTAATGACACGATGACTAGGCAGCTCGAAAGAGAGGGGCGAGGTCAGCAGAGCTCATTAACGTTTAAAGGGAAATGCTACAAAAACGGCTTGATCTGAAATTACCCTGTTTTTGACAGGGTAAAAAAAGGTGTTTTTACACTACCATTGAGAAATTTTAACCAAACTATGTTACAGACTTTTCATTAAGACCCTAAAGAATCATATCAACTTGTGGAAAATGGGCATCATATGACCCCTTTAAGAAGAATGAACAGAATGATATACAATGCCTTGTAATATGCACAAAAAGTAACTACTACACACATATTATTTTTCATAGCGTTTACGAGAGTAACCATTGGACATGTATTGTATTTCCCATGTATTACGTAATGCATAGCATTAAATTGCACATGTGTATTTAAATTTTTTTTTTTTACATTTGTTTAAATTATTTAAAAATAGGATTAAATTAAAATTAGGAATATTTTCTTTAAACACATTTTCATCCTTTTCCTTTTTATTTCTGGATAAAATATGTCCTGTTCTTGACATGTTTCCTGAGACTCACCCATATACTGTTAGCCAGAGCTTAGTAAATCACTTGTAATACACTTTCCCAGCAAAGTACTTCAACCATGTCTTTTTTTGTTTTGGTTATGGTATTTGTGTTTTTTTTTATGCTTGATATGTTCATGTAACTTTGTAACTTTCATTAATATGGTATTTTAAAACATTATTGCTTAACAGATGTTGATTATGGACATGTTATGTGTTTGCCCAATAATGTTTGATAATGATCTATTAATGAAAATAATAAGAAAGTGCTACCAATTCACTTTTTTTAAAGAATGTCCATAATTGTTGACATTTTGCTTTTCATACTCTTCTAAGATATTTTGGGACCATTGATCATTGAAAAAAAATCCTATAGTGCTAGAATAACACATACTCAAGTAGACTTGCACTGTAGCACACATCCATACAAAATAAAAGTTTAATAGGTCAATCAGAAAGTATTTTACAGAAAGAAATGCATTTTATTATTGAAAAGTTTTAAAGGTTGAAAAAGCTTTCGAGATCAGTAGGAAATAAAAAAAGTTATGAGGGGAAATATTTGCTTATGAATATGAAACTTGGAGGTGAACTATTGTTTAGATCTTTCAAAATATAATAAAGAAAATGTTTTAAGTAATTTAACCATGCGTTCAGTCAGAAGCTTAATTAACATGCTAAATAAATTCTATAGTAGTTTTTCTCATAAACTTTATTAAAATATTATAAATAACGTTATTTAGTTATTAAAACAGTCAAAGATTCGTTTAGTTTCTTTATCATCCTCACAAAATCATCACTAGATGGAAACCGTGAGTCATATATAATAAACTCCCTCAGACCACAATGTACATGGGCGGTTCTAGCGCTGCGGAAGGACTTGACACTAAACCAATAAGAAACCAGCTTCGGAAGCGGGACGAATTCTGATTGGTCAGTGGCGTTCGCATATAAAAACCCTGGAGCGGAAATTGAAAGGCGCCATTTGTTCGTTGGACGGCGCGGGGTAACTTAAGCATAAGGAGTTGAATGACAATAAAACGGGGGCGAAAACGCAGGATTCCGCAACGCAAAACAACCCCGATCCATCCGAATGGAGGCGGCCATCAACCCGTCTCTTGACAGGTATTATCGGCGTGCCTTCGGAGCCTATAAACTGATCCTAATATCACAAAGGATGAGCAGAAGGGAAGGGAGCGTTTATTTACAAGTTCATTTTCCTCCTCAAAATGGGAATGTAACTCATGTTAAAACTGCCTTGCGTCTTTTTAAATGAGTCCCAGCTATTAAAATAACAGCATGCAGCGAGCATCACTGTGTTGTGGGTCTGTACTGCATCATTTCCCTCCGCCATCTTCAGCATTTAAAGGGCTACACTGTAACACACACATACTCACCATGGTAACCACTTTAGTTATTGATACAAACAGGCATGTTGCTATGTTAACTTGATATTTACACTGTTGCGATGATATCTCGTATTAATAAATCATGGCTTTATAGTAGTAACTGTGGTAATTGGGTGCCAACTGTTTACATTGTGGTACAGTTTATAACCGGCATGCTAGTGCTCCATACATGCATCTCAGTGTTTTGCATGGTTTGCAGATATCTGTCTGATTGTGCTTGTGCATGCAGTTCATTTGCATAAGTGCAGCGTGAATGAGCGATCTGAAGTGTTTGAGCTGTGTTATTAAATGTGTGTGCAAGGATAGGGAGGGGTGGATGATTCATGTGGCTGCTGTCCTGTGCTGATTGGGCATGAATGCACTGGACGCTTGTTTACAAACACATTTTGAATGACTGAATGTCATTTACTGTAGAGTTTCGTACAGTGTGTTTTATTATGCACTGATGATTTCGTCTTGCTGCTAATGCACAATTTCCCTCATGGGATGAATTGTCTATTGAATGAATGTGTTAGTACTTATTTTCTAAATGGACTAATCCAGTGCATGTGTTATTATTCCTTGTAAACGGTTTGTTGAAATAAGGACAATGATTTGTGATATTGGAAGAAAAATAATCGAATGATGAACAAATCAGTAGTGTTCAACATTGAATGCTATTGTTTTTGTGTAAAGCTATCATGGAGTTACATAAGGATTATTATATTAATTGTTGTGATATGATGCAGTATTACTTATACATTTTAAAACATTTAGGTCAATGTTCTTGAGTTTCAAACATAAAAGTCTGCATTTGTCAACATTTGTGCTGACCATGTCAGAAAACTGTTGTTGCATTTAAAGGAAACTGTTGGGATATTTTTACACAAACTTAAAAATATAGGCTAGCTAAATATTTATTTCTTACACATCTATTGTATCTGTGTGTATATAATCAGTTGCATCTATAATCAAAGGTTTGTGGTCAGTATTTAAAAAAAAAATTAATTAATATTTGTGTT